AGGGAATTCACAAGGCTCTCTATAGAGTCCTATACAGGAATCTAGTGGTTACACCATGAAATGACAGGTTTTTCTGTTTTTTTTTTTTAGCTCTCACCAGGAGGTGCAGGAGGCCTAGTCTCTATTTTAATCTGAAATACTGCATTAATTAAAAAATAATTTTAAAAAATTAGAAAAAAAAATGTTGTACTATTTTCAATGGGAAAAAATTGATCATAATTATTGCATAAATATTCATTAGTACCATAAAATTCTCTCAAAATACAAAAGAAAAAATATTATTGAACAAAAATATATTAATTGATTTTACTGAAGAAAAAAACAGTTACATTTCTGGTGTCCGGTCACTTTTGACCGCGAAGACCATGAGTGTGACTCCCAAACGAGGAGCGCACAAGAAATACTTAGGAAATAGTCAGTATTGTGCTGTAAAATGTCTCCATCTTGTGTACCAGATTTGTAAATGCATGACATATAGTAAAACTGATGTGATAGGAATTAAGAATGGGACTCAAAGGACTATGTTAATCAGCTTTTCCATTATAGAAAATATATATGGTGAAAATAATGCAAGCAGCTACCAGAAACAACCTAAACATGTCTTACTTGACCACTTTTGTGCAGTTCAAATTATGAAAAAAATGATTGAATAAAGTCTGTGGAATATCTTTAGTGAGATTTACACAAATCATACAGTCTATATACAGCTATCCTGCACTGCTTCAAATCTTCTTACAGATGGCTTGAGACTGGAAAACTTTCGGTTTCAGATTTTCAAGTGCAATTAATTTTGGAACCAGCTTTTGTGTTGCATATACAAAGTAAACGTATTCACTAAACCACACAAAAATGATTATTACTCAAAATAGTTACTAAATCTACAGAAAAAGATGATTAACAAACATTCCAGAGAAATGATGAATTCATGAAAATGTATGGGAAATGTGTAATGTGTAAACATGGACAAATGTTCAGATATCTTCATCTATTCTTTTAGTGTAAACAACTAACTTGAATTATATCAGCATAAATAAATAATATAAAGTTCTGAGTATGAAACCATAATGTGCTCAAAAACTCAAAATATTACAACTTGCATGTACAATAAAGTTATTTATTAAAACTTTGACATTAATTACAACTCTCAACATGTAAAAAGGTGGTTTAATGTCACTAAACAGGATTTTCAGTACCAATCCAATTTGAACATTTGTTCACAAGGTGTAGACAACTAGTTTATTTTTTAACGAGGCCTTCAAATCTTTGCAAATATTACCACATCCCTTATTGTAGCTATTTATTTTCAAGTAGCAAAAGATATATATATATATATATATATATATATAAACAATTCTGAAATAATCTGAAAGGTAAAACTCAAACTGCAAGACTTTTGTAAATAAATAGAGCTGGAAAAAGAAAGGAATTTGACTGAATATCTTGTTTAGGAGATTGATAACCACAGCACACATACTGCGGTAACAGAACAAAACTAAATCATTAGTGCCAAAGGAACAATATGCCAATTGTGAATTTCTTTTGCACTACAGTACAAACATTCATCGGTCCTCGTTGATGAAATAAAAGCCGAATGAATTTGTGTAAATCGCTGTAAGTTTTCCTGCAACAATTAACACAAAAAATGATTTTGTTCTGCTTGTGTTTCAGAAACGAGGACTATAGTTTGAATAGTTTGAACATTTCTGCAATGTGGAGAAACAACTATGCAAGCTGTGAACTGTGTAACATCCCATTCCATACTATTTATGGATGTCCGTTTCCACTATGGAAAAAAACTAAAATGTAATTGTAACTTTGTCACAGTTCAGACTTTGTTTTTCCTCAGAATTGCGAGATATAAACCCAGTATTCTGACTTGTTCCCTTGCAATTCTGAGGCTTTTTGTTTCTGCTACAGAATAAAAAATAAAAAATGTAAATGTCTTTCTCACAATTCTGAGTTTTTTTCTCCGAATTACGAGTTTATATCTCATAGTTCTTACTTTATATTTCACAATTTACACTTAGTCTCAAAATTTTGAGTATAAATTTCACAATTCTGACTTTTTTTCTAAGTATTTTGAGTTCATACCTAGCACTTTTAAGTTTAAATCTCACAATTCAGACTTTTTCTCAGTATCATGAGTTTTATATCTTGCAGTTTTGAGTTTATCTCTCATAATTCTTACTTTATATCTTGCCACTCTGAGTTTAAAGCTCATAATTCAAGACTTTTTTTCTCAGTTTATATCTTGCAATTTTGAGTTTATCTTACAATTCTTACTTTTTTCTCACAATTGCAAGACAAAAAGTCCAAATTGTGAGATATAAACTCAGAATTGCGAGAAAAAAGTCAGAATTGTGAGATAAATGTTCTTTTTATTTTTGTATTCAGAGGTGAAAACGGGCTTTCATAACTATAATTCAAGAAAACTTCATGAATTTCGTCTAGTTCCTTCAAACTACCTGAACATAACTGACACCAACAACATGAACTAATATGGGCATCGATTTTACAAACAACAAAGGCACAATAAACTGATCATAGATCAGCATTAAAAGATGTCAAATATATCAGACCCCTGGTACTGTACAGAAAACTCTTCAATAACAAAAAACTGGCTCGTTAAAGGTCAATGGTCACAAATTAAACGTATGGGTTGATTTAATTTTATTTAAAGTTTCAGTATTATTATTCAGTAGTAATTATTTTACTGATATTTAGTAATTCCTCTGAAATGGCTTAAAGGCATGAGAGGAACCATCATTTCAATCAAATCATTGCAGAAAAATAGACTGATGTTTAAAGCAAGAATTAAAATTCAATAAAAATGAACTGGCCTAATAAAAAGCACATTACGATCAACGCAATATTCACAACACTGTGAATATACTGTAAATATTTAGTAAATCATGACAGAGCGAATGCATGCCATGAATACTACCACATGCATTGCTGAATTTCATTATTTTTGACATTTTTATACTGCTTCCTGCACTGAAACAAATTATATAAAAAAAATGTAAGGTAAGTGGTTGCAAACAATTTATTTTAGCTACATTTAAATAAAAACAAAATGTTGAAAGATAGTCAACTAAATTTGTTTATTTAAATGTAGCTAAAATAAATTGATTGCAACCACTTTGCCCCTGTATGACATCATCATGACATCATCGCCGTCTCAAAGGGCGTGGCATTTAGAATGAATGCACTGCGGTCGTTTCCCTGGCAACCACGGAATGTGGACCGTAATCTACTTCCTGCGTTACAGTTCGTCTTTAGGAAGCGCATCATTGTCGTCTCCCTCCTCTGGAGGCTCTTCGGTCTCTTCCTCCTCGCCTTCATCTTCCTCCTCCTCCTCATTGCCTGCTTCTGTGCTCTGCTCCTTGTTCTTCTCCTCCTCCTCTTTGCGTTTCTTCTCATCCTGTTCCTCCTTCATTTTCTTCTCAGGACCCTGTGACAACACAGACAATTTCAAATGTATTTTTATTGCTTATGAAAGTATTCAACATGCTAAAATCAAACTCTTTCACTGTAATTTTGTGTCTCGTACCTTTGTAGCACCCCACGTTTCATTTCCGAAATCCTCGGCATCCTTCACGTCATCTGTGATTAGGAAGTTGTCAAAAATAGTGCCGGATTTTACCTGGAGAGACAAAACAGAAACAGAAACATGTTGGTGTCTGCTGTGTTTCTCACAGTGAACTGAATTTGATAGAGGGAGAAAAGCGCCTCTTAGTGGTTTAATGTGCAAACACTGTGTAAAGTGTGATGAGAAACCTCACAAACTCTGACAAATAGTCATATTAGCAGTTCTAAAATAGATTTCCTCTTTCTAAACTCACTATTGTGTATGCAACCACATACCAGGGTTATTATAATTAACTAAAACTAAACTAAAACCATTAAAAAAAAAAAGTTAAAAATATTTCTCATTTTTTTATTTAGCTTAACTTGATGTACTAAAATAAACTAAAACTGAAAAAAAAAAAATAAAACATTAATAAATAATTAATAAAACATAGGCATGCTGTAATAAAAAAATTTTAAAAAAGAAAAAGAATAAAAATGCTAAAAACACAAAACAAAATTCCTAAAACCTTAACTAAAATTTAAATTTAAAAAATCTGAAAATAAAAAGATTCAAAATATTAATAAAAAACTTGCTTATAATAAT